AATTTTTTCTTGTGATGGAGTTCCAGTTTTAGAGCATTGTGGTCTGAGAATATGCAGGGAATAATCTCAATCTTTTGGTATCGGTTGAGACCTGATTTGTCACCCAGTATATGGTCAATTCTGGAGAAAGTCCCATGTGCGCGCGAGAAGAATGAGTACTCTGTTGTTTTAGGATGGAATGTTCTGTAAATATCTATGAGGTCTATCTGGTCCAATGTTATCATTCAAAGCTCTTGTTTCCTTGTTGATTTTCTGCTTAGATGATCCGTCCATTGCTGAGAGTGGAGTATTGAGGTCTCCTACAATTAACGTATTGTTATCAATATGACTCTTTATTTGGGTTAACAGTTGGCTTATGTAGATGGCTGCTCCCATGTTGGGGGCATAGATATTTACAATTGTTAGATCTTCTTGTTGGATAGACCCTTTAAGAATGATATAGTGTCCTTCTGTGTCTCTTATTACAGACTTTAAAATCTAATTTGTCTGACATAAGAATTGCTACCCCAGCTTTCTCTTGAGGTCCGCTGGCATGGAAGATGGATCTCCATCCCTTCACTTTCAGTCTGGATGTATCTTTAGGTTCAAAATGAGTCTCTTGTAGATAGCATATGGATGGGTCCTGTCTTTTTATCCAATCTGCAACCCTGTGCCATTTTACGGGAGTGTTTAGGCCATTCACGTTGAGAGTGATTACTGAAAGATATGAATTAATTGTCATCATGTTGCCTGTGAAGATGCTGTTTTTATAGATTGTCCCTGTAAATTTCTGTTGTAGCTCATCTTGGGGTCTTTCTCCTTTTATAGAACCCCCCTTAATATTTCTGGCAGGGCCAGCTTAGTGGTCACATATTCTTTCAGTTTCTGCCGGCCTTGGAAGCTGTGCATCTCTCCATCCATTCTAAATGAAAGCCTTGCTGGATAAAGTATTCTTGGCTGCATGTTCTTCTCATTTACTACCCTGACTATGTCTTGCCAGGCCTTTCTGGCTTGCCAGGTCTCTGTGGATAGGTCTGACGTTATTCTGATGTTCCTCCCTTTGTACGTAAGGAATCTCTTCCCCCTCACTGCCCTTAAGGTGGTTTCCTTGGGTCTAAGATTTGCAAGTTTTACTATTACATGCCAGGGTGTTGGCCTGTTTTCCTTGATCTTGGGAGGGGTCCTCTCTGCCTCTAGGACTCGAATGTTTGTTTCATTCCCCAGATTAGCAACGTTCTCAGCTACGATTTGCTCAAATCCATCTTCTAGTCCTCTCTCTCTCCACTCCCTCCGGGATTCCAATTATTCTGACATTGGAATGCCTCATGGTGTCACTTATTTCTCTGATTCTATTTTCATAGATTCTGAGTTGTTTTTCCCTGGCCTCCTCTCTTCCCTTTTTATGTATTATATTGTTTTCCAGGTCACTTATTCTCTCTTTTGTCTCAGTTACCCTAGCTGTTAGATTATCTAGATTGGATTGGATCTCATTGATAGCATTTTTAAGTTCTGCCAATTCACCTTTTATTTTTGCCCTTAGAAACTCTTAATTGACTTTTCCATTCTAGCCATTGTCTTCACAATTGCTAGCCTGAATTCCATCTCTGACATCTTGGTTATATCTGCATCCATTTGTAAATCTGCAGCATAAGTCATAATCTCTGAGTTTTTTCTGTTTTGGGGGCTCCTCCTCCTACTCATTCTGTTTACGGGTGTTTGAGGAATGTATAGAGTCCAATCATTGACCAGAACCCAAGCAAGATGCACCTGTTTCCTTGGGACCTTAGGGTTGCTGGCCTCTTGTTTTCCCAGCCTGTGTCTGCGGGAGGGGCCTTCCGGGCTATTACCCAGGCAACCCTGTTTGGGCGGAGTTGCCCCGGCACCCCTGTGGTGGGGGATGGGCTCAGTGGGAATCAGTCTTTGGGGCTTTTGTTCTCTGGCGCCTATCGGTGGCAGCTTTCCACGTCTCTTCGGCGAGTCAGAGCAGAAGAGACCATTTCCAACCCTCTGCCTCAGATCAGAGAGACTGTAGTCTGTTCTTCAGTGAGCTCTCCAGGCCACACTGTCTCTGTTTCTGTTCGTGCTGCTATAAACCGCAGTGTCCTGGGTTGTGTGACCCTCCGCAGCGCTCCCAGTCCTGCCTCCAGGTTGGGCACGTCTCTGCCCTTTGTGCTTCTAAAACCGCCAGCCGCTCCCAATTCGCATGCGCGGGACTCCACCTCTTGGGGTTTCTATCCCCGGGGGTTGCAGTTCACCGGCGCGACCCTGGAGCACCGGGTTTCCATCTCGGAGGCTGCAGTTCGCGTGTGCACAACCATCCCTCCGGGTTTCTGTCCGGGGGGCTGCGGTTCGCGTGCGCCCGACCCCATCAGTCTGGTTTTCCACCCCGGGGGCTGCCTTAAAGTTCTTTCCTGATGCTACGGGTCTGCGAGTCCATGCCCCGTCCGCAGCGCGCGAGGCTGTCACTCACCAGCGGTGTAGGATCCCCATGTCCAGGCACCCTCCCGCTGCCGTTTTTCCTCCAATATCTGCCTGCAGAATCACGGCTCCCGCTTCGTACCTCAAAACCAACCACCTGCGATATTGTTTGTAGAGATCCAGATCTTCTTACATCTCAGGCTGGTTTTGTGGGTGCTCAGAGTGGTCTGGTAGATACCCAGCTCAATTCCAGGGACCTGTTGAAATAGGGTCCCCTACTCCTCCGCCATCTTTCCCCCCTCCCCTACTCCTGCATTTTTGACCCATAGAAAGTGCATGAGATCATAAGTATTTATTGGTATTTTTAGCATTTCAGTTTGGAACAATTTGTTTTTCAGCAGTAGATAACTAATGTTGATTTTGGTACCTGGAGCTAGCCTGTCTTCACAAAACTTGGAATATGGGTATGAGTTTGGATCCAGAGCACAAGCAGAAGCCAGAAGGACTGCAAGGAATGTGCTGGTGGGCAGCTCATCTGCACTGTCTCATGCTGGTTTACCTTGTTGGCACATGGCAGCAGGTGTGGCTGCAGCTCTACCACCTCCTTAGTGTAAAAACCATATAGATGCTGCCTCATTTCTGCCTTCTGCATTTTGCACAAAATGACCCCCAGGTCTCAGCTATTTGGAAGTACAGAGAGAATGGAAATCTGGGAAATAAGTTCAGTGAAGCCAACGGGACATATTGCAAAGCTACCATAGCACGAACATGGAGTGCTGTTAACAAGTACTCCCTGAGCTGTTAACAAGTAGTTCTTGTCAGGGAGCCAGGGGGCAGGCTTCCCTGTTTTTCTAGCTGTCACAGGCATCGAGGTATCTGGGAGGCTGAGGATGCCACCATGGAGGAGAACCCAGAATACTGAGAGAAGGAAGAGAAGGGGTGCTGAGCCAAGGGGTTAGCTTCTTTTCTGGGCAAGGGGCAGAGACTCTTTGTGCTGAAAGAAATGAGAATCTCAACCATGCTGCAAGGTCTCATGGGAAATCAAAAAAGCCACAAAGTATCCCTTTTCTTCTATCACTATTTCTGCTAAGAGGTGAATCCAAGTGAAAGAAAGATAAAATCCAAGGGTTCAAAAGTCTAGAGAGAACTATTGCCTTCAACATGAGATGGGGCTTGATAACTAGAAATGGGTTGAATTATCAGACTCACCAATCTCAGGCCACTTCTGTGCCATCCTGAGGTGGCTTCTCGGCATCCCCTGGCTAAGGGAATGAAGGCCCCAGTCATGTCTTCATAGGAGAGAATGGAGGGCGCCATCTTCCCCTCTGGTCACAGGCCAACTGGCACACACCGGGTACAGCTTCCCACATGTGTCCATCCCTAGTCCTGTGTCCTGGGGAACCCATTTTGAAGAGTACACAAAGAGCAGTTTTTCACATTTTAGGAGTCTATCAAAGAGAATTGCATGGGGATGTTTAGAGTCCAAGGTGTAGGAGGAGCCAAGCAGTGAGGCATTTCATCTGGAGCCCCAGCTCAGCACTGGCCTGCTCTCCCTGTGTTTTTATGGTGACCCATCCCCTTCAGGGGTGCTGGGAAATCCCTTTAGTCAGGGCAGTATGCATCATGTACTCACCACAGGCCTAAGATGCAGGCATCAACCTCAGTCCCCTCGGTGGACGACCTCTGCTCTTGTCGTCCTTACTCACCAAGGTCCCCAGAGAGGGCAGGAATCACCACCCTCCAGCCTCCCCATTTTCCAGAGTGGGCGATGGGTCCCATATCCCTGTCTTAGCAGGAGCAGCATTTCCTTTTACTGGGTGTTGTAACGAGGGGGCCTGTGACCCTGCCGCTGTCCCTCTGCCTCCCCGGGGTCCCGGAGGCACCTGGCACCAACCGGCTGGGGTGACTTTGGACAGGTTATTTAATGTCTTCCAACCTGAGTCTCTCCAGCTGTAAGATGGCTCCATTACTGTCACGGGGAGGACCTGCTGCCTCTTGGGTACGTGCCCTGCATAGTTTCTGACCTATGGGTGTTTGGTAAAAGTTCATCCTCATTGTCTGTTAGAAATCATTTAACTTAGCCTGCAGCTCAGTTTGAAGAGATACTGTAAGTGCACGGCCTAGCCTCCTCCTTCAGAGGTCAGGCAGAGCCCTTGAGGAGTGAGGAGCAGGCTGCCCTGCGTGATCTTTCCCTCTGACAGGGACTGTCTTGTTCAGCTTTGTGTCCTGCTTAAATGCACTCTGATCCTTTAACCCTTCAAAAAGTGTTCTCTCAGCAAGTTTCAGGTTTGAATGAGGCCTGGAGAGGACATAGGTCACCCACGGTGGCTGAGGTGAAACAGAGAAAGGAAGAGGTTGTTTTAGTCAGGAAGCCGGGCCCCGGCATCAGCCCAGCGCACTCTGAAACACTGTGCCAGGGGTGGGCGTCTCTGGGGCTTGGGTTTCTTCAGCCCCAGGGAGGCTCCCAGGATGGGCCAGGATTTCTCATTGACAGAAGTTCTAAATCCCGACCCTACCTGCTCCAGGCCAACAGACCCCATCTTCCTACAGTGACCGGGGCTGCCCCCATTGCTGGGGCACTGGGACACCAGGAATACAGCAAGACTGGTCACGGGTCTTTATTTATTGAGAAAGAATTCACACAAGGTCACATCATACAATCAGTCATTTCCTGTGCTTCATAAAAATGATTGTCATTCACTGTGCTTCACAAAAATTTCTTTTAATGAATAAATAATTTGATGAAATCAAAAATATTTACAATATAAACAAAGGGAAGAGCTTTGGATCTGTGAATCTGATCGTTGAGCTTTGCATTTTTGAACTGACTTCTTCCAAGCTTTTCCCTTGGAAACAATACAAATCTGATAGAAACAACTCATACAACATATCTTTGTTCATTATACGTTTATCGGTTAGTCTTGGAAAGGTACATAAGCTTATACTATGCAACATGTTAAAATACAAATATTAACTAAAATAATATATTATCATAATGCCAGGTAACATTCTCCACAAAACAAAAATGTACACTCAGCCGTAACAATAACAAAGGTTCACGGGCCACCAAATAATACTCCAAAGGTACAAATTCCTTCATAAGAATATAATTGTGCTCTTCAGTTTACCAGATGTCTACACTGCTCTAACAAGCCGATGCCTAGGACAGTATTTGATGACTCTGCTGTGTGTGGTTTTCCGTCAGGCAGCAGCATTGCTGGGAATTGGGCAGTGCAAAGCAGTTTTAGAAACACTTTCTTGGGCTCTTAAAAAGAGCCAATTATGCAAAGCAAAATAAGCATATTGAGAAGTCTTCATCTCATCAACACAAATACCATGGAACGTCTTGGCTTTGTGGGATGAAAGGGTTGGTGTGCAGAGCTGTTTATGCCATCAGCCAGAATTCAAGTATTCCAGAGCCACCTCGTAGCAGAACTTGTACTGATCCTGGAAAGCAGAAGGGCAAAGATGTCAGCTATGTGATATCCAAAGGCTGGCGTCATTGAAGCAATTATGCCAGATTAGGGTTCTAATTGGAAGAAATCCAACTGAGAAGGATTTGAATCAGCAATGAATCAGAAAATCACGGTTGTGAACCACAAACCTATCTGCTGTCTGGAGACGTTCCCCACAAGGCCTGATGAAAGGTATTTTGACATCTACCTTCACTAGAATTTCTGGAAAGTTCTGGACAACTGGAACACATACAGTGTGTTTGTCCACACATATATGTTTACCTGTACATCAACATCCTGAACACAAAGTATGGGAAAATCAAGAGGTAGGAGGGAAAAAAAATGAAGCCTGGGGGAAATAACTGCGATTTGCTCATACAAGGGCCTCAACAAATAAATGCGTCACTCCTGGCCCAACTATACCCTAGATTTTCAGTCAGCAGGATGTCTCCCATTTTATGAGACTTTATCAAGCACCTCTTAAATACCAAGCACCTTGACCTGGTCCCTGACTTTGAGAAGCCCATGGTCCAGCAAGGAGGCTAAGACCAGTATCCAATGATAACACATGGTGCAGAGTTGAGCCAGGGCCCAAGAATGGTCCCCCGATATAGGTGCAGTGAAGTAGAGAGCAGAACTTCCTAGGGAGGACCTGCAAAGAGGGAGCAGGTGACTAACTGCTAACTCCTAATGGGGGTTAAAACTGGCATCCCAGGTAGAGGAACTGGATAAGTTCCCCAGAGGGGAAGTGTTGGGATACCCGCTGGGAGCCACCTCTCAGCTGTTAATCAGCAATAAAGGCATTTTTCTTGAGCACAGCTTTCTCAGATCATGGACCGCAGCCTAAGGAAGACCTCCATGAGGTCCTGGTACAGCTGGGGTCTCAGGTGTCAGGAGATGGCATTCTGCACCTGTGTTTGAGTGGTGTGCTGCTGGACGCTCACCTGGGTGTGGCCTCTGAGCCAAGCAGAGGGACACAGCAGTTGAGGATGCTTCTATTTGCCACCTGGCAGCAGCCCAGCAGCTGGGACAGAGGGCTCAGCATCTAGAAGGCTCTCTTCCCATCTCCGGAAGAGAGAAGCTTTCACAAGGTGTAAGAGTGCACACCACAGTCTCACTACCCAACACAATGGCCACAACCAAGGAAATGGATCTATTATATTTGGGTTTGCCAAATTAATTAAAACTAAATTTCCATTTTTGGGATATGTGCCTCTTAATTAATTAGTCACTGCAATTTTCTTGTCTTCACCTACATTTTCTTCTCTATATGCCCCACTAGTCCAACCTATGTATTTGAAGACAAGAGCCATACTTTATCCCTTTGTGTGTAATACACCAGTCTTTAGCACAGCACCTGACATCCAGTTGGGGGTGTCAAACGTTGGCTGTATATGTAAATGATGACAAAATACGAGTTTAGCAGCATGTCATTCAACCCAGTAAACACTGAAGGCTAGAGACTAGGGAGTTTAAGATGCAGCTTTAGTCCTTCAGGAGTTCACAATCTGGAGGGGAAGACAGGAAGCAAACAGACCATCTCAACATACTAGAGGGGCCACAAGATTAAAACATCAGTAGCAGAAGCACCCACCAGGATGGCTAAGATAAAAAAAGACAGACAATAACAAGCATTGGTGAGGATGAGGAGAAACTGGATGCTCATACGCTGCCAGTGGGAATGTGAAAGGTGCAGCCACTTTGGGAAATCCTCTGGCAGGTCCTCAAAAGGTTAAACGGAAGAGTTACCCCGTGGCCCAGCAATTCCTTTCCTAGGTATATGCCCAAGAGAACTGAACATATGTCTACACCAAAGCTTTCTGATTCATATTTCAGGATTTGATACTTTCATTTTCAAAATATTTAAAAGAAACCATTTGCATTTCAAAATTCTAAAAGGCCATGTTGTCAGATCGCCAGGCTGACATATTGGCTATGAAGTGGTCAACCCTGTTCTCCTGTCTCCTTCACGGAGACAGTTAATGTTTTTCATGGAAATCTGAGAGATCCAATTACTTACTGCATAAACATGGGTTTGCATAAACCTAATCACGAAATTTCAGTGCCTACTATGAACCATCCTTTTAACATGTGATCACGCATTTAGCGAGTCATATAGCTGCTGGCCTCCGGCCACAACTCCAAAAAGATTTGGGCTTCCCTGCTAAGGGGCTGCTGTGTTGAAAAATCACTGAAGCTGCCCTGTCCCAGGCATGACTACAGTTTTCAAAATGAATTCGCCATCATCTCATCCCTCCTAACAAACTGTCAATCCCAATAGATTCTGTGATGACTGGTTTGTGAATCAGAAAAATAAAGGGAGTGAGAATGAAGACCATAAATTGTTGCGGTGCCCTCCCCAAGCACCCCAGGAAATGCCTGAAATCCTCCTCTGTTGCAAACTATTACCCTTGATTGCCAGGTACAGGCCTGTCTTCTGCGTTTTCCTCTCTCAGCTCGCTTGCTTTTGAGCGGTGTAATTAAGCCACACGAGCTATTCCTGTGCTTCAGGGAGAAAAAAAGAACATTTCTGCCTCGGTCCCAAGTTCTCCTGATTGGGCAACATTAGCTGGCTTTGGGCATGAAAAAGTGACATGAGCAGGGGTTGTCCTTGGGCCGGACCGGAACCAGGGAAGCCAGCTACTCTCCTCCCAAGCCCCCGACCCCACCTTCACTGCAGCCCCACCTCCTGTTCTCCTGAAGAGGGAGAAAGTGAACTCCAAAGAGGCACCTACAAGCTAGGTTCTGTTTTAAAGCCCCCATCGGGCGCCTGGGTGGCTCAGTTGGTTAAGCGACTGCCTTCGGCTCAGGTCATGATCCTGGAGTCCCTGGATCGAGTCCCGCATCGGGCTCCCTGCTCGGCAGGGAGCCTGCTCCTCCCTCTGACCCTCCCCCCTCTCATGTGCTCTCTCTCTCATTCTCTCTCAAATAAATAAATAAAATCTTAAAAAAAAAAAAGCCCCCATCCCCCACCCTGTTCACTCAGTGAGGACATCACGAGGCCACGAGGCCTGCAAGTGACTTTGGGGAGCTCCCTGAAGGGCTCAAGCTGTGCCCGTGTCAGCCCAAGCTGCCTCATGTCTGAGGAACTTGGGGCCCTGCAGTCCCTCTGGGCACTTCCAAGGCCCCGCGCTGCCTGCCCGCGAAGATTCAGAGAGCAGTCTGCGTGGCTCACCTGGGGCAACACTGCCCTCCCTGATGCACTTGCTTTTTGAACCTAAAACAAGTTTCACAATTTCACCTGCTGACAGGTCCCACAGTCTGGAAAAACCCTTTTGACTGATGTCCCTGCCTGGAGGGTCAAGTGGTCCCCAGCGTGCCAATCACCATGGGTGGGGCCGTCTGCTTCGAAGTTCCCAGCACGTTCCCAGCCAAGGCGATCCCTCAATGAGACAGCGGTGTGTCTCTGACAACACCCAGAATGGGCCATTACTTTCATCTCTGCCTTTAAAAATGTAGGGAGGACATTCTTCCCTCAGAGGCCCACACACAGTTTGTGCCTGGTTCCCTAGTGAGACTCATCAGTGTGTAGCCATGGCCTCCCTGGGTTCTAAGGGCAGCGAGGGGCTGCTCAGGATGGGCAGGGGTCTGGGTGCAGGGAAGAAATGTGCTGTCATGCAGCAAATATCTACTGGGTCCTCCTCAGAGCTGGCAGAGTCTGGGGTGGGGGAGGGCACAGGGCTTTCACGGAGATTACTTCCTTCAGAGTGCAGGAAGGCTGACCGCGGGAACACTCGAGGACAATGGCTGCTTCTTCAGGTGTGGCAGGGCCAGGCCCAAGGGAAGGGGAGTGCCCCCAAGTGTCTCCTGAGATGGGTCACACTGTGCCTCTCTGACTCCCCGGCTGGAGCCTATGGGGGGTCCTACAGATGAGATCGGGCACATACAGGGTGGTATGGCTGTCGCCCACACATGTACATTCACCCCTCCTCCACCCCCCCACCTCCCTCCCCCACCTCCTTTCAAATAGCCTGTATGTCTCACAGTTCACAGGTGACCTCTTGGAGGGGCGGGGCAGTTCATACACACAGGTTAGTAGATTCATTGTGTTGTCCACGTGAGAGGGAGGCCCCACACTCCATGCCATTTTGTAGGGAGTACTTTGCACTGAATATTATTTCAGTATACTGAAGGGCCAAGTGGGACTGGGTGTGGGTAGCCAGCTTCAAATTATAGATATTGGGAGATACTGGCAGAGGGCTGGGTCTGAGCAGGAGGGATGGAGGGATAGAGGTGGGGGTGGTGGGGAGGTGGGTTTGGACATGCTCTGCAGCCAGCATGAGGAAAGGGACAGGTTGCTCACCCTGGTGAGCCATGTTCTCACCTGCAGCCCACCAAACTCACTCATCTTGGGCTCCATCTGCCATAATTGGTCTGGGGCATGGCCTGGGCCTTGGCATTTGTGACAGCACTTCAGGTGATTCCAATGGGCAGCCCTGGCTGAGAGCCATCTAGATGGGCACCAAGGTTCTTGACCCTACCACACATTAGAATCACCTGGGATGCTTTTAACATCCGGCTGCCACAGTCAGGCCCCAGATCAACTGAATCATGGTCTCTGGGGTGGGCCCAGGGTTCAGGATTCTTTAAAGCTTTCATTAAAAAAAAAAAAAAAAAAAAAGCGAATGTATAGAAACAGATTAAATGGTGGTTGCCAGGAGCTGGGGGTGAGTAAATGAGGTGATATTGGTCAAGGGCACAAATTTTCAGTTACAAGAAGTTTTGGGGATCTAATGTACAGCATGGTGACTATAGTTAGTGATATAGTATTGTATATTGGAAAGTTGTGGAGGATAGATCTTAAGCATTCTCCCCACAGACACACATGAGTCAAGTATGTTACCTAAGTGGGGTGATGGATATGTTAACTATCTTGATCTTGGTAACCATTGTACAATGTATATGTATGTCACATCTCATCATGTTGGCTAGAGTTCCCCCACCTCCCAGGAGATAATATGTTTCTTGAGGAAAGATCTGTTCCCCAAAGATTGTTTCTTTGTTAAAACAGAGCCCTGGGGGAAGAAAAATAAAATGGGGCTCTGGAAACTTCTAAAGCCCAGTGAGGACAAAAGTGAGAGAGGAGATGTTTGTTGAAGCAGCCCATTTCCCGGAAACTTCAAAGGAGCTCAGGCACTGGGGACTCCATCTGAATCTAACCAGGCAAGAAGGAGGTAGGAGGGAGCACCCCCCGCCCCCGCAACTGAGCACATCCTGTAGGGCCCAGGCCTGGGCCCTCCACACCCCATTCCCCTCTGCCTCCCCAGCCGGCCAGCACAGAAGCGCGCTCCAGGACTTTCTGGAACACATTTCATCATTCTAAGATGCATCTAGGAAGACTCAGTACTCTGTGCTTTTCAGTTGCTGGTACAACAGTTTGTGCTTAGGAGAGACTCAGGTCTCAGATGGTCTTTTATGCCCAATGAAATTGTATTGGGTTTTATCACCCTGACCTGAGTTAATTAATTCCCTCAGCCAACATACTGCCTATATAAATATATATGACTGCCTAACTAAAAGAAACGGTACTTGTAAGCAAAAACAAACAAACGACATGGGTCCTTACTCAATTCAGGAAGCTTCTAGCCCACTGAAAAGAGCTGTGGGCTGTGACATTTCTTTCCTCGGGTCACCAGATTTTACCTATTATTTTGCTAACAGTCATTGTAACAAATTTATCAGGCATTCTTCCAGGAAACTGAAAACTTGCCTTATATTTTTCAGCATGGACCTTATCCTAGAACTGGTACTGACCCTCAGAAGTTTGGGCATCCAAAGATCCTATTTTCTCTATTTGAGTAACACCTCATCACAGAAACGCCTGAGAGTGGGCTCCCTGCTGGTCCAAGCACCTACATGTCCATTCAGTTCATGAAGAATCACCTCCATCCTTTAGTCTGCACCACTGATTTGGAAAAAGCCACATTGTTTCTGCACATAAAAATTCATGAGTGAGGAAAGCTGCAGCCAGAGCCATTAGCGGAAAGACCCCAGATCAACTGGAAGCTACACATCTGTCCCTGAATCCCAGAGGTTAAATGCCAATGAAGACAGAATATTTTAATTTAGGCATTTGCTTCCATCTTCTGCCCACCTTCTTATCTGTCTTAAACTCAGGCCACTTCTGATGGCCCAGCTGCCCTATCTCACCTGCTCCCAGCCCAGAAGAGAGTTCCGTGGTGGTACAACTCTTCAACACTCATGGGTGGTCCCAGGGAGTGAGATAGTTCTCTGCCTCCGGAGGAGCTGGTTCTATTGAAGCCTGCACATGGGACACGACAGCCAGCCTTTCAGCCCATCCACACGAAATCTGTGCCTCCGTAAAAGGCACTGGGCGTGGGGCCTGGCACATATTAAGCACCATGTGAATACCAGCTGCTAGCTGCCACCTCCTCTTCCTCACCCAACCAGCTCACATATACCTGCTGGCTGCAGGATGCCCTGTAGACACCCGTGCTCTCAAGACCCACTTTCTCATCTTTGCGTTTTTCAGCAACACTTTCACATACATTGTCTTATGGGATCACCTCAATAAGCCAACATTATCCTTGGTTTACACGACTCGGGCTCAGGAAAGCTAAGTGCCCGGCCCGAGAAGACTTAAATGGCCAAGTTCATTGTCACTTGACTTGAATTAGTAGCCTTGCTGAGATGAGAATTTGGGTTTTCCTGGGGCCTCCCCTAGGGCGGGGAGGAGAGGGGGCAGCAGGCTGGGGGGCATGGTCCATTCTCCACAGAAGCCAAGGTGCTACCTGCTGATGGTTTTGGGAGTTTGCACCTGGCCAAATAGGCATCCGCCTCCCAAATTCCCCAAGCAGCACCGTGCTTCTTGGAAACATCAAGCAGGACACATGTACCTGGGGGAAGCAGATGCCCTGGGAGAGTGACTTGTGCAGAGGAGGACGTGTCCCAGGAGTGGGTCAGCATTGGTGACTATCATTACCCAGCCTGGGGCACAACTAGGATGACTGGGACCGTGGCTACTCCCTCAACGTTAGCTCGAATCTCCACTCCTTCTTTAGTCCCTTTCTTATATTTTAAATTTGAAGCCCACTGCCGCAGGGCCGTGGGCCGGGTCGCGTGGGCTTTCCAGGTGTGGCGTGGGCACCAGCCGTGTCTTCCTCCTTCTCCCCACCCCAGGCCATTCTCCCAACCTTGGGATCCGTCCCACCGTTTCCTTCAGATCCTTCTTCCACTAGCAGAGAAGTACAAACACCTAATCTGAAAGCTTCCTCCTTCAAGCTATTCTACTCACAAACGGCAGTGGCTGGCATTTTAATAGCGGCATGCAAGATAGAGATCTGAAATACTCTAAGAAAATAACTGCACGTAGTCCTTTGTTTCTCCGCTCCTCTGTCCTCATCTCAGATATGGCCACCAGAATTAAACACAATATTCTGGATGTCAAACTAAAATTCACAGCTTTGATAAATATTAGGTGATTAAGCTATTTATAAAATCTATAATTTGAAAATCTGGCATTTCGGGTGCTATGATTATTCCCTTCCCCGCGAAGACTAAGTGCTTAACCATGTGGAAGGCACTGCCAAGAACAGAAATGAATAAGGATGTTCACTTGTGAGTTTCAACTCTTTCCACGTTGCCTGTGTGTGGAGATGAAGTCTCCCTGTGAAAAGCCAAGTGAGAGAGGAAGAGGGAGAAAAGCCCTTGCAAGCAAAGCGATTCCATTATGCTCCTGAAAACGAGTCTCCCCCAACCCCCGCCCCCCCACCCCGTGAATCAGCATCACCGCCAACTACGTCCCCTAAGCGGGAAAATGCCCCATTCTGCCGGACGGGGGGAGGGGAGGGGGGCTTACCAGGAGGTCCACCATGTTGGGCTTGTTGTTCCTCAGCGTCTTCACCGCGTGGAAGACGTCCACCGTCCTCTGGTGCCGGAGCATCTCACAGACGATGCTGATGGCACAGAACGTCCCACTACGGCCTCCCCCGTTCCTGTCCGAAGAGAAATCAGATGGTTGCGTTTGCCCTCGCACTGCCTGCTCACCTGCCGCCTGAGCCCTGGACAACAGGTCACAGTGAGGGCCTCAGAGGCCAGGGGAATGCTCCCCCACCCCAGCCTGATTCTTTCATTAGAGCAAATGGTGTTAATGAGCCTCAGTGCTGGGCCCATGGGTCACCTCACTGGAGGCGACGATCAACTGGCACATTCTGCTCTCCTAGCTTCGCCTCCGCCCTGGATTATATAATCTGATAAAGCATGCTATCAGTTTTTAGTCAAAGGGCCCATTCCGGAAAGTTTCCAGTGACCAAACACCTCATCTAGTATCTGCCACCAAAACTGGTGATGAGTGTTGGTTATGTTCCAAGATGGACTTGGCCTTAAAAAAAATCCATTAGTGTTTCATTATTTATCTCTAAAACATAAGGGCTCTTTCTGATAAAACTTTTCATTTTGAGCTAATTTTAGATGTACAGAATCATTGCAAACACAACGTGGCGAGTTCCCTGGCATACCCACCTCCCCCTGATGCGAACATCTTACAGTCATAGTAAGTGACCGGAACCAGGAATTAACACTGGTGCAATAGTGTTAACTAAACTACAGGCCTTAGTCAAATATCACCAGTCAAATGTCACCAATGTCCTTTTTTTGGTCCAGGATCCAATCCCAGACCCCGCTTTGCACTGACTTGTCCTGGCTCTTTAGTCTCCTCCATCTGGGACAGGTCCTCAGTCTTTCCTTGTTTTTCTTGACCTTGACACTTTTGAAGAGTACTGATCAGTTATTTTGTAGAATACAAAATATAGAATGTAGATGTAGAAAGTAGCCATGGTTTTAATCTATAAGTTCCTCTTTGCTCTTTTTCTCTTAGCAATTTATTTTGAAGAAATGGGGTCTTCTTTCCTGGAGAGAGCCCCACATTCTGGGTTGTTCTCATTCATTGCATTTCTGTGACTCATTTAGCATGTTTCTCCCTAATCCTTATTTCCTATATACTGGGAGTTAGCTCCACAGCTTCATAAGAATTACATGTTTTTAAAGACAAGGATACCTTACATGTATACTTTCATTAGGAAGCCGGCACAAAATATCAAGTTGTCCCTTGTTTTGTGATTTTAAGACTGATCACTGTGTCAGAATGCCAGCTTTACCAGTTCATTATTAAGTCCCAAATCAGTTTTTTAAATAAAGTCTAATGGAACTAAAATTAAGCTCACAAATGGTAAGTATATATCTCAGTTAATTTCCAAATGCATGTGCCACATAACCACCATTCAGATCAAGCTGCAGACCATGATTAGCCCCCCAGACCTCCCTCAGACTTCTTCCTCATCAATACCATCAGTAACTCAAAGATGAGCCCTGTTTTCATTTTTAGCGTCATAAATTTCTTTGGTCTGTTTTTGAATTTTGTATAAATGGAATCATTTGGTACATACTCTTTTGCATCTGGCTTATTTCACTTAATATTATCTGTGTGAGAATCATCCATCTTGTATCTATGGTTTGTTCTTTTTTTTTAAGATTTTATTTATTTGACAGAGAGAAAGATAGCCAGAGAGGGAACATAAGCAGGGGGAGTGGGAGAGGGAGAAGCAGGCTTCCCATGGAGCAGGAAGCCCGATTCGGGGCTCGATCCCAGGACCCTGGGATCATGACCTGAGCCGAAAGCAGACGCCTAATGACTGAGCCACCCAGGCACCCCTATGGTTTGTTCTTTTATATTGCTCACAATAATCCCATTGACTGGATATAATTTATCTATCTACCAGCTGAGGAATGTTTGGGCTGTTTCTAGTTTTCAATATTATGAGTAAACCTGCTATAAAAATGTCTCCTGGTGCATATAGGACTCACTTCTGTAGTCATCTACCTGGGAGGGGAAGAGCTCAGAGAATATATTTATATTTAGCATTCAGTGTTGTTGTCAGACAGATCCAAAATGGCAGTACCATATTTACTTCCTGTCAGCAGGTACAGGAGTTCCAGTTACTCTGCAGCTTCACCAACACTGGGTATCTTCATTTATTTGTTTGTCTTTTAAATTTCACCCATTCTGGTGAATGTGTAGAGGGCATCTGATCCTGGTTTTAGTGTGTATTATCCTGAAAATGAATAATGCTGAGTACCTTCTGTGTTTATGGGCCACGTACATCTTTGTTTAAAAAATGGAATTCTTGTCAAGTCTATTGCTCAAACAACTGGGTCGATCTTTTCTTGTTGGCTTGCAGTAGTTAGGCATTCTGGCCATGAGTCTTTTGTCAAATGCACGTATCACAAAATTCTTTGCCCACTCTCCGTCTTGCTTTTTCACTCTCCTTGGTGTCTTTTGATGAACAGAAGTGCTTAACTTTAATGAAATCCTATTTTTCATTCTTTTGTGGCTAGCATTCTGTGTATTGGGTGACATCATCTTTGGTTACACCTCATGATCATGAAGGTTTTCTCCTGGAAGCTTCACTGTTTTCCTTTACACATTTGGGCCCATGATCCATCTGGAAATGATTTCTGTATGCAGCATGAGGAGGGAGACCAGGTGGGCGGGCTGTCTTTTCCTGCTGCCCGCCCTGCAGGAGGTGTGTTGCTGTGGGGTCTTTGTTGTAAATCAGGTGACCTTGAGGTGTGGCTCCATTTCTGGATTTTCTCTTCTGCTCCATTAGCCTACTTTCTGTCTTCCCACTGATACCACACTGCTTCCCCCCCAGGTTTTCACTTGATGCTTTCAGCAGCTGTTGATGACCATTGTCTACATCCATTATCCTCAACAAGGGTTGCAAAATGGTGATCTCTTACTTCTATCCATTTCTTCTGGTTTTATGAGCTGGAAGACGTATAAAGAAAAAAAAAACCCTATTTGCTCACCGTGAATGTACGTTTGGCTCAAGAAACCATTCCATTTACAGAACCTGGAGGCCTGTCTCCAGCAGGGACTGCTCCACCACAACCATTAGGTGGCGCTATGCTATGCTGAATATAATGTTCTTACCTCAGAAATGAACAGCAGAGAGCTTTTGTGGTTCCATGCATTCTTTCCTGGCCTATGTTGGAGGATACGAATTCAACCTAACTTTGTTTCTCACAACTAGAAAATCTTCAATTTAGATTTATATCTAATTTAGACCCCCTGGACCCCAGGGACAAATGGGACCACAAGGTCCTCCACTGCATCAGGGAGGTGGGGGGCCACAAGGATTCATGGGACCACAAGGGCCCCAGGGCCCGCCCCAGGGGTTGCCGAGGCCTCAGGACATGCATGGGCCCCAGGAATGCAGAGGCATCCTGGACCTCATGGCCCTTTGGGACCTCAAGGACCACCTGGACCACAGGGTAATTCTGGTCCTCAAGGTCATATGGGTCCTCAGGGTCCACCTGGCCCACAAGGTCACATAGGCCCTCAAGGCCCACCTGGTCCCCAGGGTCACTTGGGCCCTCAGGGACCTCCTGGTACTCAAGGTATGCAGGGACCACCTGGTCCCAGAGGAATGCAAGGACCTCCTCATCCTCATGGGACACAAGGTGGGCCAGGGTCTCAAGGGATCCAAGGTCCTGTGTCTCAGGGACCTCTGATGGGATTGAATCCAAGAGGAATGCAGGGTCCTCCAGGCCCCAGAGAAAATCAGGGTCCTGCTCCCCAAGGGATGATGATGGGCCATCCGCCTCAAGAGATGAGAGGACCTCACCCTCCAAGTGGACTGCTGGGACATGGCCCTCAGGAGATGCGAGGCCCTCAGGAGATGCGAGGCATGCAGGGGCCTCCAGCCCAAGGGTCCATGCTGGGCTCCCCCCAGGAATTGCGAGGGCCTCCAGGCTCACAAGGTCAGCAGGGGCCGCCCCAGGACTCTTTGGGGCCGCCACCCCAGGGTGGCATGCAAGGGCCCCCTGGACCTCAGGGACAGCAGAACCCGGCAAGAGGGCCACATCCATCTCAAGGGCCAATACCATTCCAGCAGCAGAAAACAGTTCTGCTAGGTGATGGGCCCCGGGCCCCCTTCAATCAGGAAGGACAGAACACAGGCCCCCCCACCCCTGATACCAGGCCTAGGGCAGCAGGGAGCACAAGGTCGCATCCCCCCTCTTAACCCTGGACAAGGACCTGGCCCTAACAAAGGTGACTCACGCGGCCCTCCCAACTATCACATGGGCCCCATGTCAGAGAGGCGGCATGAGAAGAGCAGCGGTCCTGAGCATGGGCCCGAGAGGGGGCCTCTTTCCGGGCGGCCAGGACTGCAGGGGTCCCCCTGATAGGCGCGGCCCTCACCCCGACTTCCCTGATGACTTCAGCAGACCAGATGACTTCCACCCGGACAAGCGCTTTGGCCACCGATTACGTGAATTTGAGGGGCGAGGAGGACCTTTACCACAAGAAGAGAAGTGGAGGCGTGTGGGCCCCGGGCCTCCGTTTCCACCTGATCACAGGGAATTCAGCGAGGGGGATGGCCAAGGAGCAGCCCGGGGCCCTCCAGGGGCTTGGGAAGGCTGCAGACCTGGAGATGAACGATTCCCCCGGGATCCTGAGGACCCACGTTTTCGAGGGCTCAGAGAAGAAAGCTTTAGAAGAGGAGCACCCCCAAGACATGAGGGCCGTGCCTCCCCCAGAGGAAGGGACAGTTTTCCTGGTCCTGAAGACTTTGGTCCAGAGGAGAATTTTGATCCTTCTGATGAAGCAGCCCGAGGAAGAGATCTCAGAGGTCGAGGTTGGGGTACCCCACGAGGAGGAAGGAAGGGTTTACTCCCCACTCCTGATGAATTCCCTCGCTTTGAAGGAGGACGGAAACCAGACTCCTGGGATGGAAATAGAGAGCCAGGGCCAGGTCATGAACATTTCCGTGATGCTCCTCGCCCTGATCATCCCCCTCACGATGGTCATTCCCCAGCTAGCGGAGAACGTTCCTCTTCTCTCCAGGGCATGGACATGGCATCCCTGCCACCCCGAAAGCGTCCCTGGCATGATGGGCCAGGGACCTCGGAGCACAGAGAAATGGAAGCCCCAGGGGGTCCTTCTGAGGATTGAGGAGGCAAAGGCCGAGGGGGCCCAGGACCTTCCCAGAGAGTGCCAAAATCTGGGCGCTCCAGCTCCTTGGATGGAGATCACCATGATGGCTACCACAGAGACGAACCTTTTGGAGGCCCTCCAGGCAGCGGTACTCCTTCCAGAGGGGGCCGGAGTGGCAGTAACTGGGGGAGAGGGAGTAACATGAACTCTGGCCCGCCAAGGCGAGGAGCTTCAAGGGGTGGTGGAAGGGGTTGGTAGAAGCTGATTCTCCTGAGGCCTCTCTGGACAGTATTTAAGAACTTCTTTTGGACTTACCTAGACAAACAAAAGGGAACCTGCACCATGTAGCCCTGAACTTTTTCTGGGGCAGCTGAATCCTAGGAGCCCCTAATGAGGTCTTTAAGATGAAGAGAGTGCTGCTGGCTACCCAGAGTAGCTGGCCTTGTTCTGTCCTGTCCACCCTCACTGCCCTAACTCCCATTGTTTTGTGAAGATAAAAGCTGGAATCTTTTTTTTTTTTTAATTGTCACAAGACATGGAGCACCTCCACAAATTTAAGTTCATGTCCGATTGGAAATTTGTTTCTATATGTACAGTTTGTCAGAGAAAAAACATTAAGTTGTTTTGAATGAATACAGAATGTGATTTATACAAGAAAATCACAAGAAAAAAGATTTATGTTTATTTTAGATTATATATATATATTTATAAATCTAAACAACAATAAACACTCTTACCAGGCACAGGTCTCATGCCCACCCTGATGCCAAGAGAGCAAGAGGCAGCCCCATGGGAACCATGGGGACTTCAGAATTGGGGAAAATGTTTCCCAAGGAGAGATCAAGTTTCTCGTACCAGAAGAGGGGTGGGGTGCTGGGCTGGCAAGAGGGCAGAAACAATGGATGCCCACCACTGTCCACTCTAGAGAACAGCCCACTGTAGACATCACATGGAATGATAATGTAATGGCTTAGTTCTGGGGTCACAGCTGGGTCTTGGGAGAGTATAGTCGTGGTTGTCTATGAGGTGCAGTGATTTAAGTGGTCTCTGTATCTTCCCCTCAGGCCTGTCCTGGTGCCTCAGCTTCCCCCAGTGTGATTTAGTCCTTTGGGTTATAGCACTGGCCCTTGTTAGGAAGCTCCAATCAAAGGGGGGGCACCACGCATGCATCACATTCCTAGTTCCAGATGCTGGCAGACTCCAAACACAGAAATGGGTATCTGCAGAGTGTTTTCAGTTTTTTTCAAAAGACCTAACAGATACAATACAAACCCTAACTAAAATGTCAATTTCCCTTGCTGGGACTATATCAGCTCACACTGGTGTCCACCTCCCCGCCCCCCCCCCCCCCGTTGTATTCTGATCAGAAGTTATATCTGCACTTAAGATAAATAAAAATGGGGATGTGCACTGCTAATCTTCTTTGACATTTTCTTGGTAGAGATGTTTTTAATGAACTGGGTCTATGAGAAGGAAGGGACGAGTAATAAACGCTGAGGACAAAGGATTGGGGCCTCTGGTTGAGGCTAAGTGTGAATGGGTTCATAAGACTCTTTTCAAGGGGCTGTCAGTTTCTGTAGGACAAGACACTGCCACCTTTTGACTCCTGGGAGGCAGGGCAGAGTTCTAGGGTATCACAGACCCTCCTGGGCCCCTGGGTGGGTGGCATCGCGTGAGGTATGGGAACCAAGGGGAGAAATCCAGGTCCTTAGGCAAGCTTATCATTTTAACTAGGGTTGGTCTGCTCAGAGTTAAACCTTATTTTCCCTTCAGCTTGGGAGAGACCTCACTGTGTGCTAATGAAACTCCACTGAAAAGAGACATAAGCTTATACTTGAAGTTTCCACAAATTCTCTAAACATCTTCCCTAACTGCCATGACTTTCTAATTGCTTGCTCCATTAAGCCAATCCCAACTGGCTGATAAGCTACATATCATCACCAATGAGCAAATGCAGGTGAAAATGCTCTGAAAAGTGTGGCTGTCTCTATTCAAGGGCTCTCAACCTTGGCCGCACATTGAAATAATCTAGGAGTTTGAAAAAACAAGGATGTCTGGGGCCCATCCTCAGGGATTTTGATTTAATTGCTTTGGGTGTGGCCTGGGCATGGTTTTTGTTTTTCGTTGTTGTTGCTTTAAAAATCTTCCCAAATGACCCTCAATGTGCAGCCACAATTGGGAATCATTGCTCTGTAGCAGAGGTTTTCCCATTTGAGTGCCTTCTACATCTTCTGGCCTACAGACCACACTTTGGAGATACTGGTTCTAACCAAATCTTCCCTATATATGTACTTTCCCAGGCAAAAACCAAGACACAAACAAACACAACTCTCTTAAAAGACAATTCCTTTGAAAGACAGTTCCTTTGAAACTTCTAACATGATTTCCTATAGAATCACCAACTAGTGTGATGGTAAAGATGCTCTCACTGGCTTTGCCAAACCAGGAGGGGGCCCTGATTTGCAGCATTTGCTGATGTGGGTGATGTAAATGTCTCCACTGGGGATGACTTCAAGTTACCAATGGTTTAACAACCAGCTCAGAAAATTCCCCTAAACTTAACCCTTGGCTCTCAGGAGCTGGTAGGAGCCCAATGAACCCACTCAGGTGTTTTTTTTTGTGGGCGGGGAGGGACAATCACAAGGTCAGGGCTTATTTATATAGCAGTGATACCCCATCTGAATGCAAAATGTGCATATCTTGTTTTCTGCAAAGCAAACCAAATCCTTAATGAGGAGACAGATCATCTGCATTCACCCAGACCCACTGATTTCTTCTCCATTCATAGAGAGACAAAGGGGGGACAGCAGAGCGTTGGCCTGGCCCTTCTGAGGTACAGAGCTCCCCTTAGCACTTACAAGCAGTGCACAACTGTGCGGCCTTCACCACCGTTGTATTCTTCCTGCCACTTATCCACTTGGCGAATGAGCTTCAAGAAGGAGCGCTTGGACACTGGCGTGTCCCTGTACATGGGCCAGCCCAGGAACTGGAATTGCTGCACCATCCGATATCCATCTTGGGGCTAGAAGGAATCAGGCAACAATCAGGGAGTGGAAAGAAAAAAGGCATTGTTTACTTGTGGAATACCAGCAGGCTGAGTCCACCTGCTTGGACTTCTCAGCAAAGTAGTCCATTACTAAAGAATAGGCCTGCCTATAAATACCGAAGGAAGCTTCCACTGGCCTGAAGACTTGCGAGTTTGAATCTGGAGCTGTTATTAAAAAAACCAGGGGTTTTAAATGACAGGCCAGACAAATAAAAGTGAAGCAGAATGCTTACAGTTTTGCAAAAGCCAAGTGACAACACACAACGTGAGCACTGACCATGTTGTGCAGTAAGGGGTAAAATGGGTTTCCTTTAATTGCAGGTAATTTAAGGGTAAGAGATAAATTATAATCCAGAGACGTTTGTGAGCTCAGGTTATACGGCGTTTGTCATGAGCACAACATGGGTTTGCGTATGGGTGTGAATCTTGCTAAGATGTCAGTGGTCAATTAATCTTCACCTACGATTAAATGGAATTGAAGTATTCAAAGAAAGTGTTAGAAAAGCGGCAACAGTTTTGATCTGGCTGCAGCTAAATCACTTGGGTCACGTCTCCCGTGGCCTTTGGCACCTTTGACGTGGGTGATCGCTCTCACTCTCTGACAGTTTCTTCCCCAGCTGTTCCTTCTCCACTCTCTGCCCTCTGTCTTGGCCTCCCTTTCTCCCAGACCTCTTTCCGATGGAAGTCCAGGCTCAGTCCTCGGGCCCCCTCTCTCTCTGACCTGATGAGCACACTCAGTCTCATGGCTTTCCAGACTCCAGTAAGTCATCATTTTACATCTCCAGGGTGGGCCTCTTCTGAGTTCCCCCTCCATATATCCAGGCCTACTTGGTATGTCCACTTAGGTTTCTAACAGTCATCTTAAACCCAGACCGTTTCCTGGCCTTCTCTCCAATGCATGCCCTCCACCCAAACAGTTCCATTATACCCATAGCCTTCCCTAACTCGGTTAATGTCAATTCCATTGGTCCATTTCTCAGGACCTGAATCTTGAGACCCACCCCCTACTCCCTGGGTTCCAGCCTATTCCCAAATCCTGTTGGCTCTGTCATGAGAATATATCAGCATCTCTGCCTCATGTACCTCCAACTGCTGCCACTGCATCCTCCTGTTTTCACTTCTCACTTGGATTATAATGGCCTCCTGACTGATCTGTTCTCAACCCAGAAGCCACAGTGCTCCTTCTTAATCATGTGATTCTTCTCTACTCAACCGTGTATCTGCTTCTCATTTCCTTTACAACAAAAGCCCAAATTCTGGCAGTGGCCTGGAGGTCCTACACAGTCTGTCCCCTAGCCCCCCAAACCTTGGCCACTTTCCCTTTAGGTAGACAACTCTATTAGCTACTCTCACCTTCACTTACTGTGCTCTAGCCACATCAGCCTCCTCACTGTTTCTGGACCTCACCAGAGAAGGCCCTACCTCAGGGCCTTTGTATTGACCATTGTTTCTGCCGGCAAAGCTGTCTCCACAGAGAGCTGTGTGGCTGTTCCCTCACTTTGATTGGGTCTTTGCTCACACGGGCATCTAGTTAAGACAGGGACTTGTTCTCCCTCCTGTTCATGGTCTTAGTGCTTTCGACCTCCCCACTTCTTTCCCTATAGCATTTATTGCTTCTAACATACTATATATATTATATCTTTTATTGTCTGTTTTCTCCCATTAGAACGTAAGCTCCATAAGGTCAGGGAGCTTTGTTTTGTTCACAAACACCTAGAATGTATTCCAAACTCCTAACTGGTAGGGACTGACACAGAGCGGGCACTCTAGATATTTGGTGAATGAGAAAATAATGAAACCAGAACATAAGTGACGTTGGCTGTGATTCTTACTCTGGCTGCATTATAAATACGGAATATCCTGCTGATGATGTCTTCTTCTAAGTCAGCAGAAACAAATTCCACTTGGATGGGGCCATGTCTGTGAACTCCATTCTCTGGCCAGTACTGCGGACACAACTGAATTCAAAACACAGAAATGTGAGGTTAATCATAGGAATAAATTGACTCTTGGGCACCTGGGTGGCTCAGTCGTTAAGCATCTGCCTTCGGCTCAGGTCATGAGCCCAGGGTCCTGGGATCGAGCCCCGCATCGGGCTCCCTGCTCCGTGGGAAGCCTGCTTCTCCCTCTCCCACTCCCCCTGCTTGTGTTCACTCTCTCGCTGTGTCTCTCTCTGCCAAATAAATAAAATCTTAAAAAAAAAAAAAAGGAATAAATTGACTCCTAACAGTTCCGATGAGGTCACTACTGACATTCAGTAAGTCTTAATACTTCCTCGATTCACTTCATTTTCTTTCCTCTCTCTTTTCCTCCCAGCAAGGACTTTCTTGTTGGCTGATTCCTCAGCTCCACCTGTCCTTCCAGTACTTTTTTCTTCATTTCCTCAGAAAGCATCTTTAAGCCACGAGCCATTCTGCTTTCCAAGGAGGCCATGTGGATGCTGTTCAATGCATCCCTTTGTAAGATCCCTTCTGCATGCCTTTATCTGGCCCTGGAGAGATGCCACTGGCTGCCATTACAAGAGCTAAGATACTTGAGATGGTGCACGTACCTACTGATACACAAATCTCCATCCTCCCCCACGTGGGCTTGCTTTGTAATTTATCACTTTTGGGAATAGGGCCATTCCCAAGATACTGATAACAGTGTTGGGTTGCATTTTCATGATCTGGTCCAAATTCTCCCAGCTGAGATCTAGGAAACCTGATATAATAAGAGTAAATGCTTTGCTGTTTTGCCTGGAGGTAGTTTTAATTAAAATCACAATTTCAAGCACCAGGTATTGGTGATACTGGGTAACCAGAACTTTGTGTGAACGTGATGCTAGAAAGGGTGGCTTATGAAAGAGGCACTTGTGTTTGCTACCACCCCACAGAAATACTAAACTTGCAGATAGGTGGGGAGAACCCCCAGGACTTTTCCTTCTCACAGACTTTTCCTAAAGTCCTGAGATGCTAATAGGCCTTTAATGTCTGAAATTAAACTTCTTTTGGGACTTGGTATCTAATGATGTTTTGGGGAGTAGAGTTTAATTTTTATCTTTCTGATTTACCCAAGGGACAAATGGCTTGTGGGGGGCCAAGAGGGAATTACTTCATTATCTTATAACTGGTTTCTATTGGGCCAAGAGCAGATGAAAAACCTATCTCATTTTAAGCAGAATGATGTACCACAAAAGGCAAATCCACCTGTTGAATTTCCTTTTTTTTAATGACTTTTATTTTCCAAAGTATCTAAAATCTTACCGTCAAAGGTTGTAAAGGTTGATTTATATCCAAGATTGCAAGATAGTTTTCAGCCAACAGCGAGTCAACTGAAACGGCAATCTCTCTCTATTACATAGAAGTTGAGGTTTGAACTTTACAATCAAGAATGAGGGTGGAATAACTAAGGGTACTTTTTATGTTAGCTAAGTCTATAGTATTTTAAAAAATTACATTTATTTATTTTAAAATAATGCTTCCATAAAAATTTCCCTTCCTTACCAGCACTTCCTGGTGACAAGTTCTAAGACTGCCTTGTCAAATGACAGCATGCTGATGTTTATTTTTTCTTTATACCCAAGAGTACCCACTGTTAAAATTAACAGGCATTATGACGGGAAGTTGAGATGGTAAGACAAGTCCTAACATGCACATTTGAACTGTTCTGCCCACTTTTCTCCACACTGAGCTAGCTGTGCTTTCTGCTTGCTTTCTCAGTTCAAGTCCTGATTAAAGCTCGTCACTTACACCAGAGAAATATGAATGGCTTGGGCCAGTGCGTGGTTCTTGGCACACTACATTCTGCACTCAGCCCAAGTAAACTGTGTAGAAAATGGCTTAAATGATGCATAACACGTCCATGAACCGGATCTATAAATACTTAAAATAGTTGAGTGCTATTCTTGTACAACTGCAGAGACTTTAAGTTCAAACGCTCAGTTTAGTGTTCTCTAAATGACTGTGTCCCAGGAGCCTCTTTCTCTCACTCTGAAAATCAGCTCTGTCTGCCGAGTGGAATTGGACTCTTTGTCTCTCCTACCATTGTTGGCCAAGGCTTGGTTTGAATCCAGACAGTTCGGGTTTAGAATGCAGCTTTTGTCATTCAAAAAGAACAAAATCATTAATGTCTGATACACTGATATGAAAAAGGCAGTATATCACTGGAATGTTCCAGGATTCACATTAGGGGAAAGGGAATGATTCTGAAGAGGGAATAGTCACTTGTCCTCTAATGGTCTTTGGCTGAAGAATCTTAAATTAGTGAAATTTAACCCATGGCACCGTGAGTTAGAAAATCAGGATCCCTGGTGCCATTTTGAGTTGGGCCTTTGAAGTTCCCTGAACTGTGGTGTCTGCTTGTCTTTAAAAATGGCTGCAATCTCTCTTTCAGAGAGAATCGGTGCGGAAGACTTCTAAAATATTTAAGTTTCTTAAGCAAAAAGGACTAGATGAGGACAAGGATTATCATTATTATTTCATTCACTAGCTTTCAGGCTACAGCCTTAACAATATCATGTAGGGCCTCAAACATAATTAAAAACATTATAGAATTGAAGTGAATGTCCATGGAATTTATGGCAGATTGACGACAATAAAATGGATTTTAGGAAGGAAAAATCTTGTCCAGGCTGGATGCTGAAACACTTCAGACCCCTTTTTTTCTTTTTAAAACTTGTTTCTACCAGATAGAAAATTAATTCAGTTTCAGAACAAGTTTATTCTTAAAACGCAATAAGTCCACAGTTCCCATAATGCTCTCTTGTCATGGCGGTCAAGCGTGCAGCCAACGTCACCATCCCCTAATGCAATAAATTCAGCTCCTAAAGGGCCACTGTGCCAATGCCTGCTGACAAGGCCCTTTCGGGGAATGTTTCTAACCCCATTACTAGTACCCAAGTCAACACAGCCCTATTCTTTCTCTTTTTATGTGTAAGGGCAGCAGCTGGGGGAAAGCTGCATTTATCATTCTGAGCTTCTCTTGTGTTCAAGTGCCGGTTTCATTTCTTTTTACTATCTTTACCAAAGAGTTGACAAAAGTAATCGTTTTCCCTTAAAATCACTTGCCGGTCTCCACTGTCACCCCAGCATGACCCTCTCCACCTGCAGGCTCCAGGTGAGCCGTGCTGGTTGGGCGAGGGATTGCGTCAGGTGCTGCTCTGCTTTCTTCCGGGCTCCCTGGTTTGCTGGCTCTGTTTGGTGCAGGCGGTGCGACATCCTCATCCCGCAGCTCTGACTCCACCCATTACCCTGTATCTCCCTTTAGTTTGCATTTCCATCCTTTGGGAACAGCCAATTTCTGACCCTGTCTTGCCTGTCACTTCCACCAGCTATGATCTCCATCCGTCTTTTTGGTTTCAGATTACTTTCGCCCCCCCATCCCTAATTCCATCTGCTTTTCACATTTGCGTTTCAGCTCCGGCTCCCACTCGTCACCTGGCGTTTGTGACCTGGCATGGGGGCCTGCACTTCTCGATGCGCAAGCAGAACAAACCCAGAGTTGACCCTGGGCACGAGTCTCACCTGGGCAGGATCCACATCATTTAGCATAACCACTGACGTGCAGTGATAATCCAGGACCAGTCTCCAGAAGTCTTTCACTGTGTTTGGCAAAGGATGCTGGGTGACTATAAAAGCCGAAGGCTGTTTATAGCTCTGCAAACACAAACAAGAAAGATCCAGATATACCCAGGAAAATGGAAAGGGAGGAAGCTTCAGTTATCTTGTACACATGGAAATTTGTGACACGGAACTCTGGGCACATTTAACAACTGCTGAATCCCAGCACCCCTGTCAACACCAAAACAGACTAAATATAGACTGATCTGCAGAATAATAATGATAAAGTATTCTCACTTTGACACCCAGAAAACTTAATAAGTAGCTCTTACAAATTTTTTGATATATCTGCTAGAAAGGCAACATCAGCCCTACACGTAAGCATTTTAATGGAGAAAATGTAACTTTACAAAGTATGTACAATGAAAATACTTCTGCTTTTCCTAAAATTTGTTCGAGGGTCACTTCTATGGGTGATGGTGTTACTCATTCCTGCCACAGAAGGATACACATGCTTTTCACAGCTCTGGAGAGCTTCAAGTAAATTTAGGTACCTTTTTACTGATACCACACCAACAGAATTCAAGTTTCCATACTAGCCTTGAAAATATCCATTTACTTTTCCCATCAATCGAACAAGCAAATGTTCATTCAGTTAGAAGTAAACAGACTGACACGAAGTAATGAGTTGTGTGCTATCTGTCCCGACAGACCATTTTTTCCCCCATGTTAATTACTGCCTAAATGAGGAGGACAGGGGATGAAAATAATGCTGTGAACCATATTATCCCACTTCTCTGCTTTAGTGACTTAATAGCTGTTCTCGCTCTCTGGCCAGCGGGTTAAAAAAGTGCTCACAGAGTACCCGGGACATGTTTCATTTATCAATACTTCCCGACTGGTGGTCTCCGGGAGACCGAGATCGTCGGCCGCCATGCAGAAACGTACGTGGAATCGGAAATGCGCTTTGTGGGGAAGACGGTTTGCGTCTTAAGAAAAGGAACGGAGGGGCGCCTGGGTGGCTCAGTTGGTTAAGCGACTGCCTTCGGCTCAGGTCATGATCCTGGAGTCCCTGGATCAAGTCCCGCATCGGGTTCCCTGCTTGGCAGGGAGTCTGCTTCTTCCTCTGACCCTCCCCCCTCTCATGTGCTCTCTCTCATTCTCTCTCAAATAAATAAATAAAATCTTAAAAAAAAAAAAAAAAAAAAAGAAAGAAAAGGAACGAACAAGGGCCAGGGAGCGGAAGGAGAAGCAGCATCTTCCCGGCTGCTGCCCGGGAGGAAGGGCTTCCCGGTTCCTCTGGGGCAGGGCGCGCGGGCTGACTTACGTCCATGAGGGCGGCGTTGATGTAGTTGCTACTCTCCCCGTCGATGGTGATGAGGAAGGGCAGGCAGCGGTCCGGGGGCAGGATGTCCATGCAGCGGTTCTTCTCGTGGTTCCGGGGCAGCAGCGCGATGCTGCAGTCTTCCACGCGCAGGGTCGGCGTCACCATGTTCAGGGTCTACCGGACAGCACGCGGACACGTGGGCAAGAGCACGCTGCGTGCCGCCCCGTCTCACCTTTACACTTCGGCAGGTCTGAGTGTCCTCAGCGGACGACCGGGTGCTCCCCCTCCCCACTCAGTGCCCTTTTCTCCCCCCTGGATTTTGTCCACAGACGGTGCCCATCAGATATAAGGGCCACCGTAGATCTGGAGAATTGGATTAGGTGCCATCTGGTCTGACGAGGGCTGGACATCTGGGTCCGTGGGGGGAAGAGGTTGGCTACAATTTGACTTAGAGTCAGGTACACTTAGACCGACCACCCAGCAAGTATGGTGAGGGTACCTTGCTCTGTCTGGCTGTACCCATGTTACACTGTAGGACTGCCTGGTGTCTGCCTGCAAGGGGGCTTAATGGCTCTGCTAGACCAGTTGTTCTCAACCAGGTCCCTTTGCTCCCAGGGGCCCCGGCAAGGTCTACACACAGTGTTGATTGTCACTGCTAGTGTGGTGGAGGTCTCCTGGCATCCAGGGAGTAGAAGCCAGGGGCTGCTGCTAAACATCCTACAGGATAGCACTCACAGCCAAGAGTTAGCCAGCCCAAAAGGTCAGTAATGCTGAAGTTGACAAGCTCTGTGTTGGCTCAGGGGTTCCAGAGCTGACTTTGAGAGACTTCTGAAGGAGCAAGGCCACAGCCAGCTCCCTCTCCCCCTCGCATGACTTACCCGGAACTCCTCTTTAATCTGGCTGGAGTTAGTCTGCGGATCCAGTTTGTTCATGTCATAATACAGAGACCTAACTTGGGAAGCAGGGACTGAGGTGTCACCACAAAGACAGGCTTCCAGGATGGCATCATGGATAAACACATACTGCTCCTGGAGAAGCAGAGGGGACGAGTTAGTGATAGAGAAACCAGGTGCATGGGGAGAACTAGAGAAGGGAAGACAGCGCCCTGCAGACAAGATAATGGGACAGTGGCCCGTCATGGACAATCCATTCCCGTCACAGTGAAACCAGGTGTAAGGACCTGACCGCTGTGAGGTGGGGATCCCGCTACCATAGTGCTGATACCCCTGTGGGATGGCTGGCACGTCTCCTGACTGGCCACAGGTAGCGCACGACAGGAGGAAGAGACACATGGGTTCAACGCAGAGAAGCATGACACAGATTGATGAAAACCACTCAGACACTGATAAATCCCAGGGCAAGCACTGTCATCTACGTAGCTGTGGCTTAACTACCTCTGTAATTCTGAGCCCACGAGTTTGGGACTCAATATTTCAGGTGAGGAGAGGAGCACAATCTCATCTCTCTGTCCTGAAAAGAGGCATTTGCTAACCAAGTTAACAGTGCAGAGAATGTCCAGGGAAACTTGACATCCCTATGAAAATAAATATTTCCGAGCACTTAGAACTACTTCTTTTGAAACATTAATGTGGTAATTACAAAAGTCCTTATGTGTCCGGAGAAGAGCTCTTATATGTAGGCACTAGTCCACAGCTTACGAAAGAGCCCTCTCATTCTAAAATGGCACAGATTTTCCCTACAATTAATCAGTAAAGTTTTACCATATTTATTATTGATCTTTAATTACATGAGATGCAAAAAGAGTCTCATTACTTTTTACTTTAATTTCAACAAATTATGAGGACTCTTAATTCTCAAAAACAGCCCAGTCCTAGTAACACCTCAGACACAGAGCAAGTGGGAAAGGGGATGTGGCACATTTGACTGGCTGTAAAATACATTAAAAAATACATTACTATCATTATCATCTTTAAAGCAAAGAATCCCTACTCCAGAGAAAAAAGATGATGAAAGCAGAATTTCTGCTATTTTTATTTAGGTTATTTGAAAATGGAATTAGGTTTTTGTAAACTTGAAACCAGTGGCTTTTGTAAACTTGAATGCAAAATCTAAATGGAAGGGATTCTTATTTATTCTTCATTCTGCTTTTTTTTTTAAAAGATTTTATTTATTTGAGAGAGAAAGAGCACGTGTGCCTGAGCATGAGTGGGGGGGGAGGGGCAGAGGAAGAAGGAGCAGATTCCCCACCGAGCAGGGAACCTGACCCAAGGGGGGCTTGATCCCAGGACCCTGAGATCATGACCTGAGCCGAAGGCAGATGCTTAACCGACTGAGCCACCCAGGTGCCCCTTCATTCTGCTTTATGAATCATTTTTCCCTAGGTGGTGGGTGTAATGCCTACTTAAAACAAGCAAACATTAAGTAAAAATATGAAGTTCCTCGGGGCAGGATGTAATTTTTTTTTCTCAAACACTTAAATTCCTGACACACCTTGAATTCTAATTTATAGACGTACTAGTCAGCATGGAGTATTTATACAAAATGCGCAAATTCCCATGATGCCAAGCCAGTGGGCAGAATTTGGAATAAAGTGTACAGAGATTAGCCTTAAGCCACTTGGAAAACACCTGGCTATTCTCAGGAGTCGTCTTGCTCTGGTTACTAGCTAGTTTAAAAGACATAATAAAAAAATAGTACTGAATCCCTGGAAGCTTAATATAGAGACTCTACTGGGGCCCTTGATACAGAAGCATGGGCAAATGTAGGCTCCTGGCTGCAGATTCCATTACCTGGGAGACTCCTGGTCTTTTTTGTTTATGAAAGGAGAAGAAAAAGAAGGAAGGGAGGGGAGGTGGGAGGAAGAAGGAAAGAGAGATGCCAGGTTTATCACTTTTTCTTCTGGGGAGTTTTGAAGACAGAATTGTCAGTGTTTCTTCCCCACTTGGCTGTGGGAGATGGGGTGCGGGGGGCACGGGGGACCAAGCCCGAGGATGGGCAGGGAGCAGCAGTACCTCTGTCTGCACCATGTTCACCCTCCGTGACCGCAGCTCCCGCACGCAGTTATAGATGTCAACCACGCCTTCTCTTTCTGCCATGTCCAACATGATATCGATCACGATGAAACAGCCGGTCCTCCCTGCACCAGCACTGGGTGGAAAGAGGGCCCTGTCAGCTGCGGAAAAAGGACCCCTGTGCTTCTCCTTCTTTTACATCTTTGCTATGGTGAGAGTCATACCACATAAAAGGAACCATTTTGAAGTGTACAGCTCAGTGGCATTTAGCACCTTCACAATGTTGTGCAACCATCACCTCTATCGAGTTCCAAAACACTGTCATCACCCCAGAGGAGCCCCTGTACCCCCTGCCCACTGAGAGGCTTCCTTTGAGAGGCTCCAGGCACTCTGCTTACCTGCAGTGCACCACCAATGGGCCTGCGTTGGGCGGGCTCTTGGATTTGACCTGCCGGACGAACCCCAGCAGCCCTGTGGCATGATAGGGTACCCCGTGATCCGGCCAGCCAGTGAAGTGAAACTGTCTGATCTCACGGATTTCGTGAACACCTCTCTGCCATCGGTCGGTCAGCAGGGCAAGGAAGAGAACAAAGGAAAATAAATGATAAGCAACCAGGAGAACGTCAAGTACCCCTAAGCAGTCAGTAAGCTTAGGGCTAAGAAGCTATGCATTGCTGGGAAGAAGGTCATTCTTAGATTTAACACACACTTGGGAAGCCTTATTCCAGGTAGGAAGATGTTGGTGTGGGTGCAAGGGAGGTGATGTTTGGGGAAAATGCTAATTTACAGGTGCAATTGCAGCAAATGGATGCATCTCTGATTCCTCGAAGTTCCTTTCCACAAAGCAGACTCTATTAACAGTTTGTGTGTCACTTAGAGCCTGTGCTGTGAAGTGCAAGTCCACAGAGAGAGAGGCACAGAACAGGGACCTGAAGTAATTCAAGGGTGTTTGTGGGCTCGAGACCAGCTACTGAAATGCAGGAGCCTTATTTAGCTCTTTTGTATTCTGGTACCTTTTCGTACCAGGTATTCGAGCAGAACACATGCTGTGGGTGCATAGAGAACATCCCTGGAAGAATGAATGAGGATCACTTACCAACTAGATAGGCCAGAGAAGGAATTTTCATTTGCACCTCAAGTTTGTTAGGCTTCTCTAATTTGGGTAAACATTTACTCCATTCACCCAATCACCAACCATCAGAGTGGATGCAATGCTTTAGGCATGACTCCAGATGCTAGGGTCACAGAGGTATGAAGACAGTGTTTCCTGTCTTCAAGTGGCCATAATGGTCAGCCTCTGGCAAATAGCCAGGGCAGCAAATGTATAATATATAATGTATAAATGTATACCATGGAAATCAAGAGGCATTTTTCCTGGAATTCTATGTTAGATCAGTAACATGCCTCCCTCCTAAACTGAATTGAAGACAGAAGGAAAAAGACTTGAAGAATTTTTTTTTTTAAATTTACTCTTGTTTTGAAAATAGTTGATTTATATCATCAATTTTTTTTCTAACTATGAACCTATGTGTTAAGGCTGTGTTGTAAAACAGAAATCTGTTTTGAAGAAAACATTACTTCCAGAATCAAGGCTGGTTTGTAAACCTGGGATCAAATTTGACTTTCTCCTTTCTCTTATTTGGTGACCACCTCTGTGTTGGGCCCTGAGTTTGGTTTTATTTTATCTTAATCTTAAATACCCACTAACCTTGTCACATTCACCATTGGTCATTGTTCATACATACTTAGTAAGCAAAGAAGAAATTCAGAATTTTTTAAAAGAAACTCAGAATTTTAATGTGCCTAGAAAGATTAGAAGATGCACACAATTACAGATTTTAAGATAAGACTTGTATGCTGTCAAGGTGTTAATATGTTTTAGTTTAATAACCCACAAATGCTGAAGCGTTATTTCTCTTTGAAATTCATGCTATTCTTTAATGGAATTTAAGCATTAAGGAATTAAACCATCAGGGATTCAGATATGACAATCCACACTGTTGTCTAGTCTACTAAATATGTTCTGTGACTCCAGAGTAATTCTCCTCGGTGGTTAGGAGCCCATATCTCTTGTCACTTAAACCATGGAAACATTTTGGCCAGGCCCAAAGTCTCCACCAGAAGACAAAGGGTTGAGCCTGTATCACCCTCCAGCCCCCTAGAGAGCCCCCTGAGCTTTACATATGATGACTGGGGCAGGGGTGGCTCCATGAAGTGGGAAAGCCTATAATAAATATTTATTTATTCCCAAGAGGACCAAAGGGCATTAGTTTCTCCCATACACTGTTGTTGCTTTTTTTTTTTAAATTTTAATTTTTTGAGATCTTCACTTCCTAGCTTTGTTAGATTTTATCTCCAGCATCCTCCAGCCATCAGGAGATGGGCCCCAACTGATCTCTCTTAAGACTCATTTTCTGAGCAAGGTAAATGTCAGTTTGTGGCATGCAGAAAACGTTTTCCTAAAATAAGCCTGTACCCTCTAAATACGTTCGCTGTTGACAAGATTAGCAAAGGCAATTTCTTCTGAGCCAATTCTCATTCTTGTTCGTCAATGGGGCGATTTCTCCTTTTGCTGTTCTGTAATGTATTTTGGGGAAAAATCATCGTGTAATCACTGTTTGCAGCCCAAATACCCCAACTTGATATCAACTATATTTTTTGTTTCCTTTTCATTGTAACAAGTATTAATGCTACATAAAAAGGAGATATTTACTTCATTTTCCATGTAAATACAATAGGAAGGAAGAAGCCAAGATAATAGTGCCTAGCTCAAAGTGGGTGCTTAATAAATATTCGTGGAATGAATCAATCACCAACTACATGTTCTGCCCTTATTGGAATATGGGACCATATTCCCACTGCCTTCTCTGAGGCACCTCCTGTGGAGAGAGATTTTGGTGGCCATTGTCAACTTCCTTTCTGCTACGATAGTCAGGGATCGATTCACCAGGCAGCCTAGGTCCATGGAGACCTTTTGAGCCCCCCACCCCGCCCCACGATGGCAACTTTGTTATTTAAAATTGTTTGTAGGAGAAAGGAAAGATGACAATCTCATGCAAAACAAGAACTCATCAGTTTCAAATTGCAACGGTGTCTGCTTGTTTTGCAGAGTAGAGCCCAAATCTATTTTTCACCTTGGGTCCCTTGATGCAACATACTCTCAAAATAGAATCAGAATTGCAGGCCTCTCAAAGTATATACTTGACTGTTTTTTTTTTTTTCTTTTCTCTTCTAATGAGAAGAAGTGATCCACAGAAGTACTAATGATTTGTTTTCCTTAAAGATTTCAGTTGCCCAGTTAGAAAATCACTAACATGTCATTTTGATTTCTCCAAAATCCTTAATAAGCTCCTCATCCTTCCCTTCATTCCACCACTCTTTGCTGGTTGTCTGAGGACTAAAATAACTTGAGTATTTCAGAAACATTTCTGTGCAGCTGGGAATGTAGGAGAGTACAATAAGAGGTTAAAAAAAAGAGCAAAGAACCAAACCAACCCTTCCTTTAGCAACAGAGATGCATTTTCAGCTTATTAGAGAGCTGACTATTGTTCAAAGAACTCCATGTTTAAGTGATGGCTTTGGATGATTTTTTTTTTTTAAAGAAAAAAATATTGAGGGTCTTTTATCACTATCTGTTTTAATGCAGTTATTCATGAGTGCTCTTGCCAAGAGCCATACAAAAATTCTCCACATTTTTTTCCAATCCTGCCTAAGAAGGAAAAAAAAAAAAAAGGACATCAAAGTGTGAGGTTCAGAACTTGAAGAACTGAGTCAACCAGAACTCCACATTCTTTGAAGTCTCCAAGCCTCTTGCCTACTTATTAAAAAAGACAGGCTGAGGAAAAAAAATGCTAAACAGTATGAGAAACAGATTAAAATAAACTGAAGTCTTTTCAGCCTTGTGATTCTATGACGAATACGGATTTGAAAACCGGGATAGGTCGTTCAAAACATCAGCGTCAATTAGCCAAAAAGCAGAGGCCGCCATCTCCTTGATTTTCCAAAACTGGTCTTGTTAATCCAAAAAGTGCATTTAGATGTGAGGAAAATTAGAGAGGAAGGCCAAGAGCCAACCGCCCGGCAGTGCGTTTATAACTCAGGTCCTCCAAGGTGACTTGCTGTTACTGAATGAGGACAAGCTTTCACCACACCAGTCTGCAACAGAACTGTACATCTGGTGCAGGGCGCAGCTATGTGGAATCAGCTCTTGATGGAAAAGTCTGTGGACCTCTGAGACAAAAACTGTGTGTCCCCTTCGTGAAAGGCAAGATGAGGATTGGAAGGCAGAGTGTTTCTCCCCACAGCCTACCTGTGCCACTTCTCTGGATGGACTGCAGTATGCTTCACCTCCGGCCCCTCCCTATGTCAGCAGAAAGAGGGGGAATAAGGAAATTCCCTGTTATGCCCTATAGAGCTTCCCAGAGAAGAGGCCCTATCCATGCACATGGGATGAGACAGCATAGAGCCATATAGCACAGCATTCACGATCCAACACCAGCAAGTACAAAGGCTAAAACCAGTATGAGAGTGAGGATGAATGAAGGGACCAGTTCATGCAAGAGTGTCCCGTGTCTACTTATGTTTCCAGGTAGGTCGCTTCCCCTGCAAAATCCATCAGGCCACAGGGAACTATAGGCCCGAAAAGCCTCAAGGGAGAAGGGGGATTCCAGGAGGGGTTAGGACCTGGGTCTCAGCACTGATACTAACTCAGCACTGGGAAACCCATGTGGACATACGACATGAAGGACATTTATCAAACTGTGAAGAAAGAGAGATGGGCTGAACAATGTCAACCAGGTTAAACAGAAAAGGGAAAGAGACATATCGGCCTTATCTTTTGATTTTGTAGCCACATACAGATTCCTATGAAATGGGAATGGCTCGCTTCAAAGATGGAACTGAGCTATTAATAGAATTGGGAGGCAAGATGCAATGTTGAGGCATCATTAGATAGAGCCTACCTGCATTCAGGTGTGACCACACAGAAATTATCCCAGGGAAGTTAATGAGGCTAGTCCTACTAACACCTGACCATAGCTTTTCAAAGTAGTGTGACACTTACCTTTTCGACAGCAAATGTTCTTATCACATATTCTGCCAGTAGTTCTGTTTCTATTAGGGTGACCTTAATGTCTTTATATATCTCTGTGTCATCTGGCCAGTACTTGCAGCATTTGACCTGTAGAAAACACAAAGGGCATGAAGGATTTAGGGTGTTTTTCGGTTTTGTTTTGTTTTCTCTTTTGGAGCTCCCCAAATGATGGGTCACAGTGTGATTTATAGGATAAAAATTGCACATAAAAACAGAAGTTAAGCTGCACACTTAAGAACGAGGTTAATTTTTAGATCAGTTGTGTTTCTTTTCTCACCCCAGAAGAAAACAAAATTTGAGTTCTAAGAGTAGTAGAGCCTAGGAAAATCGTCTGAAGTTAACAAGTTGTCTTTCTACTGCAAATATCCCAGTTAACTGTGACCATTCATTTCCTGTTTATCTCTATTCAGGGAAGAGCCTGGAAAAATAAATGATAAAAGGTAGTTTACAACATTTAGCTCCTCTGAATTTAAAATTCCTTCCAGGTCAGAAGTTGCCTAAACATTTTGAGGAGGCGTGAGCAGGAAATCCAAGACAACAGTCAAGATTAGAGATTCTTTTCTGAAGAAGGAAGTCACTATGTGGTTTTCCCAAGTGAAAATTACACATTCATTTTAATTTAAGTAAATTCTATATACAAAACTTGGTAAAATATGAGCAGTCTTTCCATATTACCAGAAGCCTCTAATCTAAAGATTTTTGAGGTGGAAGAAATTTGTTAGACTTAGCCCCTTCTGGCAAATTGCTTTTTTTGTCCTGTAGCTCTTCCAGACTTCAGTGAAAGCCTGGAAAGAGGGGAGAACAGGAGGAGGCCTGGCCGGGCCAACGTGGCCGTCCCCAGGGCTCTCTCCTTAGTCTCTGCTCTTCTGTGCTGAATTTCTGACAGCTCTATCCACTCCTGTTGCCGCTCCTCTGTGGATGACTTCTGTACCCTGGCCCTGTTTCTCCAAGTACTGAATTCAATTTCTGCCTCGTTCTGTGGGCATTTCCTGTGGAGATCCTTCCAGCACCACAAAGACAATACCTCTAAAAGAGAATCCTTGGTCCCCCATCAACTGCCCTTGTCTGACTCCCTATGTCAATGACACCATGATTTCTGCAGCTATCCAGGCACATAGTCTGCCGATTCCTTCTCTCCGAAACCAATTGCCAAGTCTAAGATTATTTTTGAATGATGTCTCAAATATGTTTTCCAACTTTTTATTCCCTCTGTCACAATCTTAGTTCAGGCTCTGGTACTTCCTGGGTGGGCACTGTCCCCATACCAATCCAGAAGAACCCTCCCAAAGTGTAATCCCAGTAGCATTTACTTGCCCTGCTTTAAGAAGCTTCTATTTCCAACTATTACCTGTGAAAATTAAATAGAAATTAAATTTGGCTCAGCATGTATTTATTTGGCCACAACAAACAGTTTTTGCTCTTTTACTACTGTCCTTCTTATCCACATATATTTTATATTCAAAGACAAGTAGTTCGCCCAGATCCAAACTCCTACTCATGCCATTCCTTCTGCTTGGACTGTTCTCCTTCCACTTGTACCTTCCCAGCTGAAGATTTTATCCATTCTTCAAAGTACATCTCAAATAACACGCCCCTTCAAAGTCTTTGCTCCATAAACGAGAGCACTCTCTCTCTCTTCTTGATCCTCTGATAACACATGCCTGTTCTGTGAGTAGGACCCCTTCTTACACTGCCTGATCCTGTCTGTCCGCACACGAAGGGTGCTGTATTACTTATTTCTGCAAACCTTATAACATCCGCCAGTGTGTCCTGTACACACTAAACATGCAATAGATTCATATAGGATTGATCTCATGGAGAAAATCATAGGAGCGGCGTAGGAAGGACAATCTCAGATTGCGAGCATTTGCAAAAAGAAGTATAGGCTGAGATGACCCTTTCCAGAATGCCAAACACCTTGGTACACTAATGTTTCCAGTGTGGTACATGGCTGATCATTATCTTAGCTGCTTTCTCAAGAAACTTTTTGGCAGCCGATTCAGTGCAGTTCTATGTAAGCCTTACTAGCTTTACTTGGCAAGATGTAAGCCAGACATGTTAGGGGCTGGGGATACAGTGGAGCATAAGACAAAGATAGTCCCTGTCCTCATTAAATTTTAGTTTTCTTTGGGAGTCTTTTTTTTTTTCCCTCATGGGAACATTATCTGTGACTTTAGAAAGTATAAATATTTATAAGTATTATGGCTTATATATAATATTTCAAAGATTTACATTATGGATACCTTTGCTGCATTTAAAATACTCCATAATATGAAGGATAATTTCTCCTGTTCCTTTCCTAGATGTAATGTGAATCTAGGCAGATCATGCATATTTGTGATGATGTCTAACTTGATAGCAACCCTAATTTCACTTATAGAATGCCTAATTACTTTCACAATGCTAATTAACAAAGATGCTTACATGGTACATACAGGAGTCCCTTCTATATTGGGAACTTGCCTTTACCTTATAGTGATTCCAGTTATGCAAGCAGAAGCTGGTGGATAGGTACAAAGGGAGTATGTATGTGCATTTCTAAAATTAAACAGTTTTCAATGGAAAGAATATACAATTCAAAAACCTATGTATTTCTCGGAAAATTACAAGAGAACAAAACACACACCCGTACCTGCATCCTGTTCGATACTGGGTGCATCATATCTAATAAAGATACCTTATTAGAATGCAATCAATGTAGGACGTATCCCACGGTCACTTTCCATTTTAGACTCCTAACCCTCCCCATCCCAGATTTTCAACAAATATGGGTGTGAGGGGCTTCAGTGCCTTGGAGTCAGGGACACCAGAAGTCCCTGCAATGTACTGAAGGGTTAGCGTTTCTCTCTTGGATCGTTCTTCCAATTCCCTTGGGAGAGCTAGGGTTCCATAGGCTACTGTGACCCTGATGGGCCCTCCATGGCTGGCTCTGCTGGTCCCCCCAGGTCCCCTGTGCGCCCCGTGACCCTGCCGCCAGATGCAGCTGGGGGCCCCCAGGTGTCGGCGGCAGGAAACGGTGGTGGGGTCATGGGGGCTACCGAGGGCCTCTAACTACAGCCAAGCCCCTGCAGGACAAGTGCCACTGCCCTCCAAGAGAAGCACGAGAACGAGGGGTGCTGGCTGCTCGGAGTGCTCCACGTGGGGCTAACTCCGCACCGGACCAGAGCTTCACAGGAGCAGAGCAGTGATTAGCAGAAAGGAAGTCTTGGGGCTGCTTCCTTCCAGAACCTGTTTATGGGTAGAGCCTTCTCCCATGCAGGAGCACCTGCCTGGGCGGGACCAGAAGGGGCAGATGAGCCATTTCGAAGCCCGCCCTCTCCATCTCATCTCCCGGAATATCCTGAAATGCCTTGCCACATCTGTTTTTAGCCTACTAAAAACCTTTCTAAATTGGGTTCCTTTTACTGTTTTTTTTAACTGCTTGGGCTGGTGTCAAGTTATTATTTTGCTAAAAAAAAAAAGTAAGAGGAGCATATGCTTTTCTAGAGGCAGACTTTCCGTGCCTGGGGAATCTGGGGCCTGAATCACCTCCCGGCCTCTAGGGTCTGCATACAGAGATGTTAAGATCAGTGATTTGGGGGCACCTGTTAGAGCCTGGGAACTGCAGAACCGGATGCTTCTTTCCTCTGATCGTCGGCCAGGCTTGGCTGCCTTTTGCAGCCTGGCACTACCCGCACAGCTTTAGAACAGGCTGTGCCTCCCATGCATCCCAATTACCTAAGGCAACAGTTTCCATCCCAGAAAGCGAGGCTCTGATCAGGCCCGTCTAATTACCTGGGTGCCCTGGCGGCGGCGGCACTGGGCTATGGATCAGGCTGCAGCCCCTGGGTGCCTCTGCCAGAGCATCACTGGGGAGAGCTGCGGGGGTGCATGAGGAAATCCCTGCCTCCAAGTGGGTGTGTGGGGGTGTCTTTGTTGGCTTTAAAATTCACAAACACGAAACAGTACAGAAAACAGTAATTCCAGGATTTATGGCTGCCTAAAAAAAAAAAAATTATTTGAGATTGGTCATTTTTAACCAGCCAGCTGATCCCAAGTACAACGAAGGCAGAAGACCCCTGGGGGCTTTATGCACCTGAGTCTGGCAGCACATTACCATTACCATCAGGGCATCGTGACATCTCTTGAGCAGGTTCTCAAACTTCAGCAGGTATCCGAATCCCCTGGAGGGCTTGTTAAAAGAAGCAGGGCTGCACCCCAGTTTCTGATTCACTGTGGGGTCCCGGAATTTGCATTTCAGACAGGCTCCCAGGTGATGCTGCTGGCCTGTGTGCGGACCACACATTGAGTTGCAAGGATTCAGACAACAAAAGCTGACTGCAGAGTCCAGCCCTCTCCTGAAGGTGGACTGAGCCTGGGGAAGGCTCTCAAGTTTGCTCAACCTCTGGCTCTTCGTCTGGAGGGAGGGGCTGATTTTAGTCCCTATGTTAGAGGTTCTAAGGTGAGGTAAGGGACTGCCAAATTTGTCTGCACATTGGAGTCCCTCAAGAGGGTGGTTATTAAATTCCAAAGCCCAGGCCAAGCTCTGTGCCCATCAGATCATGACTTCTGGGGCAAGTAGCTCTTTGTGGCTCCCCTGTGACTCCGGAAGTGCAGAGAAGTTTGGGAACCACCGCAGTTAAGTGGTATCACGCAATGAAAACATCTGCTCCAGTGACGTTTCATTCAAAAAAATATGGACATTCCTCTTTCCTTCTTCTTCTTATTATATTTTGTGATCTGGACTACAGGTGACCACAGGAGTTCCAGGGCAAGAAGTCCACGAAGGGCCTGGAGAGGTGAAGCGGGGGTTCTCCAGAGAAGGAAGAAGGAAAAGCTTTGACATGCGTGTACGGTTTCTGAAGGGAAAAGCAAATAGAAACTCCAGTGCCCCCTTTACTCTTCTTTCCTGCAAACCATCTTCTGGGGACTGGGAGGACTTGGGAGCAGTCCATTCTTCCACTAGGGGCGTCTGATGAACTCTCAACAGAATTTAGGAAATGGTGTCTATGATTTGCAGGGAGGAGAGTCCTCTCTAATAGAGCTGGGAGGAATCCCAGAGACAGCCAGTTTCCAAACACTCCTTTTCAAGGGGGCAAGGGAGAGGC